GCATCTTCATAAGCAATGCTGTATGTTTTCCAGAGGCATATAATATTAACACTGGACTACAACTTCTAAGACTTATTTAAATTGTTATTTTAAATTTAAAAAAATATCTATTTTCTCGAACGCTAGCAGCGTTAGGATAGTTCGCGGCACGAAAGTCAAGACGCCAATGAAGCAAGCTGCGTTGCTCGCCACCTGGTGAACTCGGCGTCCGGCGGGAAAACATATTTCAGCGATAAATAGGACTGCAACGACTAAAATGGCGGCCGGAAGACAGACTGTCATCTCAATATTGTTTACAAGGCCTCGAATAACGGCGGAAGGACATAATAGATCTTAGTTACTTATTTTTATTTTATTTTTTTATTAACAGGAAAACTAGAAAGTTTGTTTTCACAAATTAACAATGTAAATAATATTATGATAATCACTAAGAGAACATAAAAAAAACAATGAACAAAGAGAAAAAAAGTAGGCAATATTAAAAATATTAAAGAGATCTTAGAAATTAGATGCAATATACGTGGCTAGGGAAGGGAATTGGGCAATCAAATAATTTATTACTTAAATCACTTACAATGTTAGCAAGCTTAGTGTTAAAAAAAAATCAATATAATCATTTGTTATTTAAATTACTTTTTAGCGCATGCTTGTGGTCCTATGAGCAGGATGTGCGCTCGCCGCGCCAGCGCCGCGCGCAGCACGAGGTCGCAGTGCGCGAGGCGCGCAGACACGTACAGCGTCTCCGCCCACTGCCCGCCCGCCGTTCGCGCCCCGCCCCCACCACCCGCCACACACTCCACACATGATATCTAATAAACACATGACAAATACAAAAAAAATATATTGTACATCTATTAACATTGAAAAACGACTTTTAAAAAACACATATATTAATACAAAGAGTTGGGACAGAGTTAAGGTAATTAAAAATTCGAGTATACCTCTGTATAAAAGGCGTCAAGAGCACTCTCCTTTATAATGCCTAAAACGCTTCGATGTATTGCCAAATAGACTAATTCTTCTGGAGATATACCGACGTTGGAAGCGTCGTTTTCCATTACGTATTCGAACTGAGTTAATATTTGATTCACCTAAAAAAACAATAAATCTATTAAAAAGACTTGGTGGTAGTTATATAAAAAAAAAATACGATATAAAATTTGACATACCATGGTAACAGTGTAAATCTTCATAGTGACATCAGATTTGTGTTTATCAAACCACTCTATGCATTTCTTAGTAGTTTGATGCAATAGCGGTAATGCTAATTTCCCCAACTCGGATTCGAATTCCGCTTTACGCAGCCAACTTTCCAACACTTCCTCCGCGCAACTGTGCTCCTCACTATACACAATAAATGACACAGCGTTATTACACTATTTATTTTTTTATATATACATATAGTTATTCAATAATTTATTTAGTTATAAATTCTAATATTTTAAAAATGACTATTAGGTTATTGGCATAGCAATATAACATAAGCGACACAATGTGGCGTAATGATTGCATCAGACAACAGCAGAAAAAACTAGATAGTTGAATTTGTAATTTAGTATTTCCGCGTGATACCTGAGCAGCACGATGCCGAGCCGGGAGACGGTGGCGGGCGAGGCGTGGTGCAGCGCGTGCGTCTCGAAGAGGAAGTGCGCGCCGCGCGGCAGCAGCACGCGCGCGCCCGACGGCAGCGTCAGCAGCCGGTTGTCGTCCAGCACCGAGTTCAGCGCCTCCACCCACTCCGGCTCCACGTCGCCGTCGCACACCGCCCACGAACACATCTCTGCACACATATAAGATAATTGGAAATGTCAAAATTATGTGACATGATCATAAACTATGGCAATCTTCCTTTCCTGATGTTGGCAGCTTGTAGTTTATGGCCCCTTTCCCACATTAAAGATTATAAATGCGAAAGTTTACGAGGGTGAATAAAAAAATTCTTGGAATCAATATTAAAAAATGCAAAGATTTAAATAATAATATTTTATTTTTCTACATAATCTCCCTCCAATGCAATGCATTTAGAATAACGCGTTTCTAACTTCCTTATTCCTTGTGAAAAAAAATTATTTTCTTGACTCTCGAAAAAGTCCTCTACGGCAGCTACGAGTATTGTAATGTTTGTTAGTGCGCGGGCGCTAGTGGTGTGTGGGGTGTGGGGTGTGGGGTGCGGGGTGTGGGGTGTGGGGTGTGTGGTGTGCAGACCGTGCGGGTGCGCGGCGAGCTGCAGCGCGACGGTGGAGATGACGCCGTCGCTCCAGTGGCGCGTGTCGGGGTCGATGTGTCCCAGCAGCCAGCGCCGGCTCATCGCCTTCGGGTACAACACGTACTCCGCCACGCTCTGCCCGCGCTGGGACAACGCCTGCAATATCTCTTTATTATTTATTTTATTTCAAATTAGCTGCTCCCGAGCCGCTTCATCCGCTTAAAATCATGAAAAATGTATCACATTGTTTACAATTGTCATATTATCAATCGGAAATGTCATGCTATGATGATAAAATATGGAAATCTTTATTTTGTGATGTTGGAAGCTTGTAGTTTAGTTTAGCGTAAACACACACACACATACACACAAAATTGTGTGTGTGTGTTTACGCTTTATTACAATACGTATATTAAAACTAGGCGACTATAGCGGATTTGTTACAGTTACTCTTTCATTCATTATGTCACCTGTATAATAATGTTTGAATCGTTTAAGCTTACAGCTTTAAGTATTCTTCTGATGGTAGACTTCCCGGAGCCGGGCGGTCCGACTATTGCCACGCCCGTACGTTGCTGCAGCTGTTCATACAACTCCATACACTTCTGGATCTGGAAGTTAGTTAAAATTCAAAATAATGGATTTTTTATTTATGTCATTTACAGACCATAGAGTATTTTCTAATTATCTTACCTGGTCTTTGTTATATATTAATCCAAGATTTCGTACAGCGGAGTTTAATGCTTCAACTATCGGATCAACAGTTTTCTCCTCTTCCGGAACGCCGGCGAACACCAATGACAAAATGTTTTCAAATCTGAAAC